TTCTTCATGGGAACAGTTCTGACTTGGTTTTCTGTTTCAGGAAGGACTGAAAGCGTGGGCACACCAGATTGAGAGCGGACTGTGTCTGATTGATGGAAAAAGGCTACCCGAGGACTCGGAGCTCACAGTGGGACAGGTTGTTTATGATACTTGAATGAATGAATAAATGCTTGATTGCTGGTTTAGGATCGATTATTTGCACACTTTTATGTGCAAATCAATTCCAACATAGACTGCTGTGGCTTGATGATGAATAACAAGTGATTTTTTGTTGAAAGGCAGCAAAAAAATTCTGACTTCCAGTGTTTTTCTCTAGAGGAGGAATGTGAGACAGACATACACAGCTCAGCTGCTCATCACAACGGTAAGAGACGCACTTTTCTACTCTAATTAAGCACTTAAAGCACTGTTTTTTTTACTACAAGCTTCATTCACCCAAGCACACACACATTCATACCCCCATTTTTCTGTACCTAAACTCCATATCTAACATTTGCACATACACTCACATTCTGATGGATCCATAGGTGGAAACTTCAGTAGGTTTCCACCTATGGATCCAGTAGGTTAAGTATCTTGCCCAATGGTACTTTGACATGTAGATTGCAGTAGCACGTAATTGAACCACAGACCTTGTGATTGGTATATGACACGTCACACAAGTAGTGGCAGTGAAGCCATAAATGGACACATGTGCTTGTGTTTGGTACATTTCTGTTAAAATTATACATATTTGAGGGGTAAAGTTAAGTCAAGTTTTGAGAAGTTTGTGCATGACCATGAAATAAAATTTTGCCTTCCTTTGTGTTAGGAAAACAAGAGGTTAACAGATGTGATTCAGCAGTGTGGCGGCAGCGTGTCAGTAACAGGAGCAATCCACAGCAGAGCTTATCTACACAGCAACAAGCCAAAGGCCAGACTGGCAGAGAAGGTAATTCTTTAACATAAGGGTCGTTCCAGATAAAAGATCTGAAGTTCAACATCTGAGAAAAAGACTGACCCACAAATGAAATGAAAACAGAATTTATTCTTTTCTCACGGAAACCTCTCTTGCGGACAGCTGCTGAAGAGGGATGTGGTTTCTACGGTGGCCACGAGAGTTCAAATGATGCTGGAGGAGCTGCTGGCATCAGACCAGGAGAGCAAGGGCAGCTGCAGAGACAAACAACAGAGAGGTGCAGACACAGTATGCTCCACCAATCACTTGCTTACAGCTGTACATAGATAAGTTCAGGGTCATGGGTGGGTTTACTGCCAGCCAATGAACACATAGAGGCAGGATTTGAACACAGATAAGACCTGACCTCAACAGTACAAGGTGAGCAATTAGTAATGGATGGCACACGCTATTGTTTATCCCAAACCCCAATTTCATAGTTGGTCTGGTATGAACACAGTGTATCCACATGTATACATGTGGCCAGTGCTTCTCACAAGAATGACACTGCTTGTGTATTGTTAAGGGGGATCCAGACCTGTTAATCCATGTAAGTCTATGGAGATGAAACAGCTAAAATGATCATAACTCACTGAATTTTGAAGCAGTTTAGTTCAAATAGTACAAATGCTACAACTACAGCCCCAATTCCAAAAAGGTCAAGACATAAAAAGCATCAAATGTTTAAACTGTGAAAATGTAGCATTTTAAAATGTATCAAAGCACTTAGTGGGATGGCAGCAACACATCTCAAAAAAGTTAGAACAGGGCCATGTTTACCACTGTTTTCAGTTTTCAGACTGTTCCCAGTCATCTTTCAACAATACTATAAACATCTAGGAACTGAGGAGGCCGGTTGAGTGAATGAATAGTGGAATTGTAAAGCGCTTTGAGGGTCTCGAAAAGCGCTGCATAAATGCAATCCATTATTAGTATTATTATTATCTTTCTCCCACAATTCTTTAAATGAGTAAGGAGGAGGAATAAGGAGTAATAAGAAAAATGTTGTCTGTCTACACCTGATCACTTGATGGCGACGTCTTCAAAGCAACTTTTTTAGAATGAATGAAAGTTAGAAGTGAATAACCTTACTGTCATGTCTTAATAGATGAGCACCATTAGAAGAGATGTTAAAATCCACGACCTCTCAATATTAGTTACTGTACCTGCGCTTCTCTGTCTGTCCTTCAGAGCTGTTCTGCCTCCCCCATCGTATCTTTTGTCCACTGAAAGTGAGCGGGCCACTCTGTGTGTGTGACTACCAGTTCAGTGATGAGGGTTTATCTGAGGTGACTGAGCGGTTGAAGGAGATGCTGGACATTGATGCAGCCGAGGAAGACTTGGATACCAGACAGGAAACGACTTTTGAAATCACAGGGTGTGATATTACACCAGGTGGGCACAGAGTTTGTGTTTGTAAAGTAGTATTTTCACACCAAAACCTAATTTCTAGTTTGGGTATCAGTTTTCACTTTCTCCTTTTGTTGTCACGGTATTGTTTAAATGGTAAATGGACACATTTTTTTTTATATAGCGCTTTTCTACTCACCTGGAGCACAAAAAACACTACAACATGCGTCATTCACCCATTCATACAAGCACTTTTTATCCCTATGCTTAAGTGCTTTCTATCTGACACACACACATCAGGATCGAACCACCAACCTTCTGATTACTAGATGACCTGCTCCACCTACCTCCAGACCAAATCTTAGTGCCATTACTATATGAATGCAAAATATGTAATTGTGACGTGCTGCTGCGGAGAACATGTGCCAAACTGCAGATGTGAGGTTAGATGTATATTAAAACAAATTAAAAACCATCATAGCTCATCCATCTAATGGATGGGTATAAAAAGTTCACTTCAATGGAATTTCCTGGGTTGGGAAAATCTCAATATCCCATCTCTGTCATCATTTGGTGATAGAGTCAGCAACCTCCTCAAAGCCTCAGCCTCAGTAATACAACAATAAATGGTTATTTTTGTTGTTAACAGTGGTGCGATGATAACTATCAGTTTACAGTTTATATTAATGATGTCTGTTGAAAATTCCCATCACAAAGTTAAACTGAAACAACAAATAATTAATAAGTTACTTAATAAAATCATCCTGACTTCACAAACTTACTCCCTAGCTGCAACATTTTATGACACTAACAAATTCTAACCGTTAAGTCAAGTGAACATCTGTATGTGCACACTGATGGTACTTTAGTTACGCCATTTTCACAATAATCAAGCAGGAGTTGGTGATGAGGGATGTTAACCTAGCTGATCCAAATGTGTGTTGTATGTTTTCAGAGCCCACTCAAGAAAAAGTCAAGGCGCCAGAGCACAAGAAAAACTACATGGGTAAAGACCTCTCATCTACATTTAATAAATTGTGTTAGCAAGACGAATGATACATTTGCTTATTATATTTTTTGTATCATCCAATCGTCTTCTGTTAGGGCTCAGTATTCAAATAACTAAAGTCTATTGTGTAGTGCTTTGATAATGATTAACTATCGAAAATATATATATATATTTTAAAGGACATGCATGCTTGTGTACTCTGTCCTGACTGTCCTCCTTTTTGTTGTTTAGGTGTTGCCATGGCTACAGCTGTTGCCTTACTTGCTACTGCCGCCTCGATGCTGTATCTCAATGACATTTGAGGAAAATGAAATAAAGAAATAGTGTTTTGTTTTGATCTTTTCTGCCAAGTGGATCTTGGTTGACTCAGAAGATAACAAATAGGGCTGACTACAGTTATTTAAAAAATAAAAAATCCCCAACTGAAAATAGCGTCCTGGGGATTTAAGCTATCTGTACAATGCTACAGTAGACACACAAACACCTTCAGGGAACATAAGCTAGTCTAGCTAGATATAGCAACTTGTTTCATACATAAAATGAACTGAGGGAGCGCACCGAGGCCCAGTATAAGACAAATGATCGTTTTGAACTCTGAATTGTACACATACACTCTATTAGTACAAAAATTAAAATCTGGGGGGGCTGGTTTAGCTCACTGGGAAGAACAGGGTGACACGTGCTCTGCCTCCCCCGTGTTCCTTCTCCTAGCTTTCCTGTCTTAGCTCCACTGTGCATTTGAAATAAAATAATAATAATTAATTTGAAATAAAAGCTATGTATATAGCACCAGAAATGAGCAGAATTCCTCTTCAATAAGGAGGTTGAGTTTGCCACGTGAAATCACAGCCTGTGGTTAGTGTCCTTGGCTGTGTTAAAGAGCACATGAAGCGCTAGATGTATAAAGGCTAATTTACACCATTGAGCCCTGCTCTCA